TTGCTACTATCTGACCTTTACTGTTTATAATAGCACATCCTGTTTCATCAAATCTTACTTGTCCACCACTTCTTATAATTTGACTCACTGATATAAGATTTGTGGCAAGTTCAGGAACACATAACACATTTGTAAAGAGCACTTTCTTTTCTTCACCTTTATTATTATAAATATCTAAACTCACTTCTCCCGAGCTTTGCACAGATAATACTTTATTATCTGCAACTCTTATATTTTCTATGGTAGGAGTTGATTCATTTTGCAGTAAGCTCCTATGTCTGGTCATATGTGAGGAGGCGCCAGAATCCACATACCATGCATCATCTTGAGTTGAAGTCGCAATAAACACAGCAGCATAAGATGAATTGCCTGACTTATGTTGTGTATATTTGGTTTTGGATTTGCATTCAGGACTTTTATGACCGTATTTGTTACAAGTGTAGCACCTAGGGCCTTTTGATGGTTTCTTGTTATTGTTGTGTGTTTTTTTATTAGCCACAAATGCAGTAGATGTGTTCTCGGGTTGTCTTACATCTTGTAATAGCTTTGATTTAATAGAATCAGAGGTTATCTTCATGCCAGAGCTCTCTATAGCTATAATCATTGGTTGATAAGATTCAGGCAGACCGGAGAGCAGTAGTGTGCCGAGCCACTCATCATCTACCTTAAAACCAATGTTACGGAGCTTGTGGGCTGTACTCATTATTTTGCTCACATATTCTTCTACATTTTGACATCCAGTTAGCGACGTGTTACACAGATCACGCAGTAGTCCTACACGGCGTGTAAGCCCAGAGTCATCGAAGGCTGTCGATAACTTATTCCATACTTCCTTGGCAGTGCTTGCTTCTTGAATGTGTACATAGTTTGTAGGATCAACTAAAAGAATTATCTTTGTTTTAGCCTTTATATCTCGTTTCATATCCACTGGAGTGTTTGAACCCGATTCAATGCAGTCCCACAACTCTTCGTGTTGCAGGTAAGTTTGTACTGCAAACCGCCAAGTTGCGTAATTTTCACGGCCTGATAGTTTTTCAATAACTGACATTTGATTGTTTCCTGTCATTTTTAAAAACTGTACTGTTTTACAACAAAACACTTCACCACGAGGTCTATGAAAAAATATTTCCCGGCGATTGAGGTTATGTCCACATTCAATATCTTATTGTAACAGTTTTTATTGAAAGATTTTGCACTGTCCTTATTTCTGGGGTTTTCTGGGTCCATAACCTGATATAATTAATCAAACTAAACTGTTGTTTAATCACTGGATTATTTTATTTAATAAAAATTACACACGTATGAAAAATGGTGTCACAGAGCAGATCATAGAGAGAGAATAAGTATATGGCCAAGCGTGAGTTGGCTTAAAAAGGCGCGAAATTCAAATTATATTTAACAAATATGCAGATATTGATTTCCAACAAATTGATGAAAACATTAATAACACTGTCAACCCACACAAATAATTTACGGGAATTCCCTTTTTACCCGACAGCGCGACGCAAAGGAGGGTACCTAATTATAACTTTGGAATTACTCACAACTGAGTTTCCATGATTAAATTCGAGTTGTCAACTGTCATTTTTTTTTTGAAGATGGGAGAAATTTTCAAAAGTTGAGTTCGATTGAGATTTTCTGGTAAAGATTCGAGGGCCCCCTGAGCTTGAGGGCCCCGGGGCACTGCCCCGCCTAGCCCCTTTGTAGCTACGCCACTGTACATGATCAACCAACCAAAACGTTTGTCTACCTAAAAGTGTGGCCATTTAATTTTAATTATTTACCATTTTAATACACAAATTGTTAATTACAGGCTACTAAAATATGTCAAATTTCGTCAGGTATTTTGTAATCTACTGTTAATATGCTAGAGTTTTAAATCAAGTGGAGAAATTGTATAGTTCTGACGTGCTGTTGACTGTACCTATCTTGCAAACATTGGGCCAGTACAAATTAACGGTTATTTTTAATTTGGTAGTTGTGGTTGACATTCCATAGTGTGTAAAGATTTGTTGTTGACTTATCATTTAATCCATCATGATTTGTTAATAGCTTACTTTTAATAAAAATAATTTATTTGATCATTTATGTGTTTTGATTCATTAGCAAGATTTTGAAGAATTCTTTTGATAACTTATTCATATCATAACTCTTTTAATATTCAGAATTAGGGTCAGAATGGCTGGTTGCCTCTATAGTATCGACTCTACAGTGATTTCTTAAATTTTAGGCAGGTTCACTTTGGTGAAACCACTTCACCTCACTATCGAAATTTATGTCTCGCGCGGAGACCGTGCACTAATGATTGCGCGCAACGAGCTGCCCTGCGATTCTGTTAAACTTCAAACCCGAATTCGAATCCACTCAGGTGTCCTAAACAAAATTGATTGATTAAACGTGTCATAGATATTTTAATCCTATATCATTTCGAAACTTACTTCACTTATGTCACGAAACATTATTACCAATTCAAGTTTGAGCGGATGCCGCTTTTTGAAGTGAATTCGGACACATGAGTGAATTCGAATTCGGGTCTTGATTATTACAGAATCGCAGGGCTGTTCGTGTTGGTTAATGTCGATAAAGAAGTTTCACTGCATTTGTTGAGCGCACGTGGTACCATATAGGAATGGAACTACGTTTTTTTTTAAGTGCGTATAGCGAAACGATTGTCCCTGTCTTGTCTTATTTAACTACAAAGTAACTCATATATTTACCGATATTTTCTGTAAAGATAGATATAACAAGATAAGGAAAAAACATGGTGAATTTTAGGAGTAGTTTTGTAGTTGTAAGTTTTTTATAAGTTCACGTTTTGTCAGACAGCCTTTGGTAACATGATGTAGCTTTCTTATTTAGGGTTAGGGGCGGCTTAACCTATAGTGCTGGGTGTGCAATGCACACGGACGCCGCGCTAATATAAATATGTGTAAAAATTGGGCCAGCGCACTACTTGCACCCGGGCGCCTGTTGTGTTTAAGACGGGCCTGTTTAATTATATTTGGCGTTATTTTGCACAAAAGTTAGTAATTTCGAGTGTACGCCCCCTCGTTGACACAACTAACTTGCGTGTTCACATTTCGTGCAATTTTTGTGACCCAGTGAAAGAGCATTATGTTCCTCGATTGCAAGTGTGCTGCGCAATCATGCGTTCCAATGATTTACAGATAATTAAAACTCGACATTTAACAAAATATATTTATTACTTATATATATTATTATATATTGCTCAATTTCAAAATCAGTAGATTTTCACAACATAAACAAGTTTTAACAACCTTTCAGTGTTTGTTCTATTACAATAATATTGCATTTTATTGCACACAGTTTATTAAAAAAACAACAGAATGAAAATTCACTTTATAAGGATAGTAGAACCAACCGAACGTATGAAAAATAAAACCAATAAGACCAATAATGACTTATTGGTTTTATTTTTCAGACGGTCGGTTGGTTCGGTCGATTATAGTCGCAACATTAAAAGATTGTTTTGATATAGGTATGTAGGTAATTCCATAGAATACTTACACAATTAACCCTCATACTTTATAAAATAATCAATTTTTCCGCCACCAAGCTTATTTTTGTGTGCACCGAAAGCGGTATTACAATAAATATTTTTTTTAAATAATTAGAGGTCACCTTGTAATTTGATTACCTACCAAAATAAAGACGTTATTTTCAAAAAGTAATTTGCCACAATTTAAAATGGCTGCGGAAGTAATTGCAATAAACAATTAAATGAGTATGGGTACTATAGTAATAAAATTAAAATAATGTGACTATCCACTCATTTCACTTGGTAATAATAGAAAACCGAGGTAATAATAGAAAACCGCTCCAGATAAGTAGGTGGCTACTTATCTGGAGCGGTTTTCTATTATTACCTCCCAGAAGTGTTAAGTATTTTTGAAATTCTTCCTAGAACATAAAACATTTTTTTTTTCTCCTAACCGTTTATCCATGTCCATATATATCTGCATAAAATCATCCAATAATCTTAAAGACATAAAAATTTTGAGATCTTGTTCCAATTTTTTTTTAAATCCTAATTTTCAACACATGTATTCGGGACGGAACAATAAACATAGGTAATGCAATAGACAGTTTCGATGCCTAATAGTGTATTGCGCACTATAGAGATCATTGTAAAATCTATAGGTACACGATAAACTTTTGTAAACTTAATTTCTAAAAATAATTTGTAATAAATAATGATAATGGAAAACTAGTTATATCGTGAGTTCTTAACGCGATGCAGCATTATACACCGGTGGAGGCGAGTCTCCGCGTAATCGTTCTAAATTTTTAAACCAATATTAAAAACGCGGTCACAAGTTTCGCCACGCTTTTCGGGGAAACATTCATTAACAAGTGAAATTATTTATATTTACTGCAGTAGTTCACTTCGCAAGTGACATTTCTTCAGTGCCTAGTTCATTCTCATTGGAATTAGTTCAGTGGGTATTTTATTAATCGAAGGAGATTGAAGCGAACAGATAGATGAATAATAGCGCGTGCGGAAGCGAGCAGAGTTGCTAGAGTGAACAAGGAAATGTTTTTACGAAATAAGCCTTAGGACATTTTAAGTAGCGATTAAAATCAATATACGATTAATATATTATCATTATTAATTATTATTATTATTACAGAGCCAAGTAAACTAAGAGAACTAGATCAAGGTATTTGTTCATCTACTCCAAATAAATTATATATTTTCACTTGAGTGAGCTGTTTTGAGCATGTTTGCTATCGACTGTACATGATCTATTATAATCAATGTTTTTATAGCTTTAATTAAAACTAAATTGAAAATGCATACGATTGAAAATTTTGATATTCTTGAGTGCGCGTATAAGGATATAAGGCATAGAACACTCTGGAAATAGATGAAGACGCAAACTCGCATACAACGAAATTTTTGGGGTTCTTATTTTAAGTGGCTTGTATGGAAAGCTGTTACGTTTTCTGCGATTTCAGACTTGCGTTTAACGGCAGTGCAGTCCAACGCTAAAACCTAAAAATCAATAGATTTTCGTACTTTGCCCCGGGAAAGCATCTTCAATCCCTACGTATAAGAAAATTTGTAGACTATTTTGTATGACTCCCTCCAACAGTAATATTATAATCGCGTTAAGAGCCTATTATAGGAGCCCTGGACTAGGCTAATTTTTATCTAAACAATGGAATTATAGGAATATACTAGCTAACTACCTTGGAATGCAATTTAGGAAATAACGTATATGTTTTACGATTTCGAAATTCACAGCATAAAGTTAATAACGGGTAACTGTAATAATTGCCTACTAATGATAACTATGTTTGTTCATTCATAAGGTTCATCATTTTTTATACTAAAGTAATTCAGTACTTTCGACGTTAAGTACTTTATGAAAGTACTTATCGTTTATAAAACCCTTACAGATAAAACATCATTGCAACCTACAAAATTTCTGGTAAAATATTTTTGAATTTAACGTCTCTGAAACAACATTTGTGTATTTACAAATTTGGATTTGGAATTTCAGTAGGTCCCTCCTTCTTAATCACTTTTAGATTTTCTTTACTTGGTTTGATTGTGTCCGAGGGAATATCTTCTTTAATGGGAATTTGTTGTGGTGCTGCCTTTTTGTCATTTTTAGGAATGTTTTGTTGGGATTGTTTTTGTACTTTAGGTGAAGAGCCACTTCCAGATTTTTGCGCCTGTGGTGTGGGCTTTTGATTTGTAGAGCCAGTTGCTTTGTTCTGACTCGGTTTTGTCGTGGTAGTTTTAACTTTATCATCAGATTTAGGTTTTTGCACTTGTGCGGATTGTGCTTTAGGAGGTTCTTGAGTTGGTTTTGGTGCGTTATTTTTTTCTTGTGCCTTAGGAAGCGGTACAGTGGGTTTATCCTGTGTTGATGCTTTCTTGGGCGGTTGCTGTGTTGTGGGTGGCGTTGCTTTTGGAGGTTGGGTTGTTGGTTTGCTAGCCTCAACCTTAGGTTTAGAGTCCGCGACAACTTTAGGTTCCTTTACGGGTTTAGGGGTGGTAACTTTGGCAGGCTCTGAAGCTTTAGGTGCCGTTGCAGTTTTTGGGCTAGTCACTTTATCAGTTTCAGGAGCCTTCGGCGTCGTTGGCTTGGGAGTAGTTACTTTGACAGCTTCTTGAACTTTAGGTTGTTCTTTAGGCGTCGGTGCTTTGGCAGTCTTCGAAGGCTCTTGTTTTCCTGGCGATGGTTTGCCAGAAAACGCTTTTTTCAACAAAGGGGGAGCTGGAACGGAGCCGACAAAGTTTTGAGCATGAGGTCTTCCCAAATAGAGCTTGTCATTAAAAACAATTCCATCACTTATGAACCCTACAGAGCCATCTTTGTTGTAATATGAAACTATAATATTTCCATTCCAATCTAATTGTAATAAACCACTTGGATTTGTAATAATATTAGATAAACTGTCAAAATGACCGATCTGGAACAAAAAAAACTCAAATTAGATAATTTAAAAACATTTATGTACATTAATATTTTTATGGTATTTAAAAGATTTAAACATAATGTTACAGACTTTTATGTGAAAGAATATTGTGAAAGTCCAAATAGATTACAAAATATGACAAAAGAGTCAAATTAAAAAATGCAAGTACTCACTCTGTACACAATGTCCTCAAATACGAAATGTGGATAGTAGCTGTTGAGAAACTCGAACGGGATTTCAATAAGTCGCTGGATGCGGGCAAGGAACTTCCTAACGTAAGGTGCTGCAGCCAAGGAGTGTGATAAGTGAGGATTCTCGTCGTCGTAAGTTATGGGCATCCCCACCAGCATTCCTGAACCGTCTGGTAATGCACGCAAGTTGTCTGGTGCACCTGAATTTTCATACAATTTTACTTTAAGCCTACATTTATACAGTGCTAGATTATGACCATGAGCAGTATACACTTGTTCAAACAATAGGTATAAAATAAGAAAGACATACCTATCCAACAAAGAATATTTCATTTACACTCGTAAAGTACCAGAATAAGTATCTACAAATTTTGAGATTACATAAAAGATTGTGTTGACAATATGTTTACATTCTTTTTATTTTTTATCGGATTTATTTCGCAATATCATGCACAGTCTATATACGAAAGTGATATTAACATCAGAGTGGAGCCGGGTACTAGATCATGTTTCTTTGAAAAGGGAAAAGTGGGTCAGATGATGGAAATATATTACCAAGTGTTGGATGGTCAACACGGTGATTTGGACATTAATTTCGAACTTATGGATCCAAAAGGGGCAAAAGTCATATCGGATTACAAAAAATCCCAAAATTCAGTAATCATAGACATGACAATAGATGGCGACTATGTATATTGTATGGATAACACCTACAGTATGATGAATTCAAAATTAGTTTTCGTGTCTGTAGTTCTTGAAGATAAACAGAAAGAAGGTAACTCTGAAGCAGAAGTTAGTGTTGCAAAAAATGGAACAGAAATTAATGAAGATGAAATACTTGAATGGACTGGAGTTGATGCTGATGGCAAAGCATATTATCTCGAGGTGTCTAAAATAGCAGACTCGCTTACACGCACCCTGCATCATGTCGTTAAGGCACGTAAGCTCTTGGACATGTATGGGGCCATGAAATCTCGCGACAGTCACTTAGCGTTTGAAGATACTTTTATAGTGGATGTTTGGTCAGGGTTCCAAATAACTTTTATGTTGTTGGTTGGTTTGTTGCAAGTATATATGATCAAAAATTTATTTAGTAAACCTTACTAATAAATAAAAAATCTTTTTAATTAATTCATGAACTGTTCATCTGCAGAAGGCATGTATCAATATATTTGATAATTTCACCAGTGTCATTCATGTAATCATTAATAAATAACATTGATAAATTATAAAAATTACTTTTATCTTATAAACCTACCAATAAATTACCGACAATATTATTACAAACAATAAATAAAGAAAGATATATTCCAATCTGTATAAACAAAGTGTTTAGTGGTGAAATGTGTATTTTGTATGAATTAAAATTAATAAATAGATGTATGTAGGTATTTGTCAGAATAAATAGGGTTGAGCTACATTTGGAAATACAGTATTTCCTTTCTCCGTCGTCTTATCCTTTTGTCACTCGGAAACTTTATTTGCTAGAGTGAAAAAGATAGGACAACGTAGATTTTAAGGGGATAGCCAACATATCATTTTTCTCATAAACAACTAAAGTTCAAATGGCTCATTAGTCCATGCATGACAGTTATGTGTCACAGTACTGTTTTAAGTGATAAAATTTTTTTACCTGGCAATCCAGACGCAAATACTTCAGATTTTCCTTTTTTTGGACCACTGATGTAATATTTTAGCAGTCTATGCGCAAATGTCTCAGCTATCACTAAAAACTGATCATCTGGAGACACTATCACTCCATTGGGAAACCAAAGGTTATCTAATAGAACTGTACTTGTGTTTGTAATTGCATTATATTTAAATAATCTGAAAATTAAAGAAATGTATTCACTAAGTTAACAATACTAAAACTAAAGATAGTGTATAATAGTTTATTTGATGACTTCCATAGCAGTGGTCTGTGACTGAGGCTCCAGCTTTAATTTCTGGTCGGGTCAATGTTAAAAAAGGACTTTTCTGTAATGTCTCATGACTGGGTGTTGTGGTGTTGCATTGTCTCGGATACTCCATAATACGGGGGCTTTAGCTACTCATCTTCTCTGAGCATTGTATGTGATGTTTAATATTTATTTATAGAAAAGCAGTTTTTATTACATTACAGTATGTAATGTTAGTTCCAGGCGACTTGACCTACTAAGACTTCCCACCATTATCATTATATGACAAATAAAAGCCTGTGTACACCACATGTTTTAATCTATCCATGCTTTTATTGTATAGAGCAGTTTGTTTGTTTTCATGGCACTGGGCATACACCTTGTCCAAAAGTACACTCTGGTAAGATATTCATATTGTTCATTAGATATTGGATATCAACATAATGTCTATAACTAACTGTAATTTAAGAAAATCTCTACATGTGTTGATTGTGCATTAGAAACCAAACAGGTTCTAATTTACAACTTTTATAGATGATATATTTCTTATGAATTCAGTAGTTTTTAAGATCAATGTGTACAGGCAGACAGCTATGGCAGAGGACTTGTTTTAAGATGACAAGTATATTATTAATCAGTAAGAAATGTTTTCTTTTTTCTGTTTTAATAATTGCCTTACAAATATCAGTAATAACATACCTTCCGCTAGGATCACTCAACATTGACATTGCACCATCCTTTAATTTAAAGTCACTGGTAGAATCAGTCCAGTATAAATTGCCAAGACCATCTAATGCAACATGATTAAATAGTTTCGGAGTCCGCCCCTTGATTTCTACATTAGGTGATACTAGAAGTTGCTTCTTGTCTGTTTTCAAATCTATTTTCCAAATTCCATGATATGCATCAGCTACATACATTTGATTATTTTTTTCATCAAATACAAAACCAAGAGGCCGTCCACAAATATGTTCTTGTTTAATACCAGCTGTTTAAAAAATATATATATTATTGAAACTTACAATAGGAAAACTAATTAAAATAAAATACAAATAAATAAATAAAATGTTCTTACTACCTAAACACAGTCAACAAAAATTGTGTAAGATAGAGTGTTACAGCTTTGTCATTTATATAGTTGTTACAACTTTGTTAGTTTTAAGTATTTCTAATTTGATACTATTTTTATGGATAAAAAACCATTTACTTTTATACATATAGGTACATAATACTTGTAAGCACAACATTGTGGAATGGAAAAAACATAAAGATTACATTGCTCGTTAACTGGCAATCCCAATTCAAGTCATATCTGGCTGGTATCTTTCTTAGAGAATAATGAAGGGTTTATATTACAAATATGGATCTATATTTTTAAGTGTAACACTTCAGTTAATAATTCTAAAAGCAATTTTATTTTTCGATGGTTACTCACTGCATGGTTGTCCAATTTTGGTGACAAATGTAACATGACCACCCGGTGTCAATTTCACAATTTCCCCTGTAGCAAGACTAGTGTATACTTCCCCTTTGTACAATTGGAATGCCTCTGGGCCTAGCACTTTGTCAATAAACAATTTTTCTGCATTGTCAAGTGCTCCATTTGGTGCTAGAGGTCCTGTTAGTGGCTGAGGTGGCTCCAACCTAACGATACATTAAAAAAGAAAAAGATATTGATATTTTAATTTACAATTTCTTATCAAGAGAAAACAACTTTTATTATGACACAGAAATAATTGTATAATTTACTCTACTAAAAAAGAGATATACATACGTTATTCTTGTAAATGATGTATATGGTGGTATGTTTGGTATTAATATTATAAGAGCTGCGAAAACTAGGAAACATACTCCAGCTTTGAACAATTTTTTTAGGAGTCCCAATACCAACCCCATTGCAACTTGATATCTGAAAGGAAAATAGTTACAATATATAGTACAGTTAATTTTTTACCGCTACCATGACACTAAACAAGGTGTTCTTTATTAGGTAAGAAAACGCATTTAGTGCATGTTTACACTTCAATTAAATAAATAATTTATTTAATACCACTTATTAAAACATATTTCAAGAACCTACCTATTCGTTACGATTAAAAATTATTAAAATTACGCGATTTATAAAACGTAGAGCATTATAGTAAAAGTCAAAGAGTAGTAAAGTGACAGACTTAGTAGTTCAAAGAGCAGTCCACAGACCAATATGGAGCAGTCAAAGAGTTACACAGATTTTAGGAACAATCACAGAACACATATACTCCAAGGACCAGTTGTCAACAAAGAGTAATGTAATATAAAAAGGGATTGTCAAAGAAGCACAGACCACGAATGTCAAATTAAACTGGATTGTGCAGTGTTTCATTAAAAACGGGCAGAGTGAGAGAGTAAATTACGTAACTCTTCATCTCTGTCTAAGTAGATTTTTAGGATGTCCACGCGTTTTTAATAATTTTATAAATAGGTAATATTTAATAATGTTACATGACCTTATTTAAACATTTACAGATAGAACTTTATAATTTTTTACAGATATTATGAATGACCAGCAGCTTCGCCCGCGTGGTCCCTAGGGAAATGTTAAGTGGGATAAAAAGTCCCATTATCTAAGTCAGCTAATACCCTATCTGTATACCAAATTTCATCAAAATCCGTTCAGTAGTTTCGGCGTGATTTAACTTTTTTAATTAGAGATGACTGAGAGTGTTATAAACGTAAGAGTAGACAATAGACAAATACAATCAGAAAGCTTCGAACTGCTAAGCTATCGGAAGTTACACGTGTTATTGTGAGTCAACCATAAAAGATATGTATATATGCTGTCGTGCGATATTTTTTATATAATTTTAAGCAGAACATTTCCGTCATACATGATTTCTGGGTAGCTTTAACCATTAAGGTTGCACACGCGACGGAAGCTTAAGAAATGGAGTAACTTCTCCCGTTTTAACAACATTTCCCTTCACTGCTCTGCTCCTATTGATTGTAGCGTGATGAAAAGTATACTATAACCAGCTCAGGAGTATGAAAAATTATTGTACCAAGTTTCGTTAAAATCCGTCGAGTAGTTTTTGTTTCTATAACGGTTATACAGACAGACAGACAAAAATTTTACTGATTGCATTTTTGGCATCAGTATCGATCCCTAATCACCACCTGATAGTTATTTTGGAAATATATTTCATGTACAGAATTGACCTCTCTACAGATTTATTATAAGTATAGATGATATAAGAAATTTTACTGATAAATTAGTTTTTATTTATCGGTAAAGATAATTATTTTGTAGGATATAAAACAAGTACATAAATGTTATCATAATCATCTTTAATGTGTAAATCAATAAAAAGGATAAAAAAAAATTTTTCCTATTAATTGTATTAGAATACAACGGATCATTTTGTCACTTTGCCTGGTATTATTGTCCTCCATTTTACAGCTAGACCTTATCCTTTGGGATCCTAGAAACATAAGAGCAATTTTGTCATGGTCAGCATAATAAAACTATTACTTTATCAATATTTATTCAAACTAATGTGTAGGCCATTCAGATATTTTCCAAAACATAAATAAGCTAGTTCTTGTTTTTCATTCTCCAAATAACTCTGTACCTACCGTGAAAATATTCAAGCTTCTTGAGAATTTATGATATTAATTTCGCAGTGCATAACATATTAATAAACATTTTTACTGTAATGTTAAGCAAGTAAAATTTACAGAGATTAAAACGAAGAATGGCGGGTAACGTAAGTAAAACTAATAAATGTTTACAATATAAACGTATGAATATTAATTTAAATCAAAGCCCCTTTGATATGGCTTTGTTTCTTGTTCGTAGACACCCTATTTCATCACTGTTTAATAAATAAGGGAAACAGCTTACCTGTGAAATGTGAAGTCACAACCGTGATACAATTCATTTTTGCAATTAGCCAAGCAAAACAATATACCATTTTGATGTAAATAATCGAATTAGTAAGTCAAAACACAAATAAACATCAAACTTAAACATTGTTTATGTTGTCACATCGAGCGGTCATATTAATTTAAAATATTGCCACTTAAATGTAACAAAAACTACTAACGCGACATCGGTTTACAATATAATTTTAATTAATTCACACTTTTCCTTAAAAAAACATATCAACTATGTCTATTCAATATATTTACTATTAGATAATAATTAAAATTAAAAAATCAATAAAATCTCCTAAATGCCAATAATGATTACTTAATTTTCCAATGGCAACTTGTTAGACAAGGACCTACTGCTACAAATCTAATATCTCTAGTACCTAGATCGTTTTTCTACTCTGAAATGTGACATAGAAAAATAAGCCTTATTTCATAATAGATAAAGTGTAAGTTTGATTATAAGAAATATATCAGTACGCAATCCAGTTTAATTTGACATTCGTGATTTGAATAAAACCGATTTCTAATAATATTTTACAATATTATTGTAAGAACCAAAAATGCACATACCCATCGTACGAATTAACATAATATAACACCTGGCTCGATGTCAGCCGGCGACATGCAAGTTCAGTAGCGATAGTATAATAACTGTACGAGTCTTTGTGATTTTTAAATTCAAAGTTTAAACCTTGCTGTTCGTTTCAAACGGACGTTTCTTGTTGATTGCTGAATTTTTATTAAGATGATTTAATTATGAATGTAAGATTTAATAACTGATTTTTTTATTCTTAATTTCGAAAGGTAAACTAATTTGCACGTTATACTTTGAACAAACGTCATTCTAGCCAGAATTATGTTATTTTATACGAATTTTATTATAATTTTATTATAATTATCGTTTTTATGACCTTTGTTGCTGATTAATAAGCCCTATCCATTCATTCACCACACAACATAAAAATATGATTGAAACTTGATGTAATTTTGTTGCTCTAAGTTCAACAAACAACTAATAGCAACGAGAGTAACTTACCTATTTGTTATTGTTTTCAGAACTTTTGTTAAATATTATAATGAAAAATTACTAGATCTATTATGGCATAAGTATTTTATTTATTAAAACTATTTCATGGCAATATTATTGTGTACCGTAGCCACTTTTAATAATCACACAGCATTAGTTCCATTGATTTCCATAACCTTTGAAAATAACCTTCTCTTTGCTCACTTCCATTTGTTTCCATTTTCCTTTATACAAATAAAAAAGGAATTTATTCAAGGATTAGTTCGTATTAATCGAGTTGCAATAATGTAACAGGAACTAATTGAATTTCAACTCGATATTAATCCGAGTTATCAGATCTATAACAACACTGACAATTCTGTTCTCTTTGGATTAACGTCATGAATTGACATTTAGGTCATACCATTTGTGCTGCCGTCTAGTGAAATATTTTTTTGTACTTTCTTTATTTTTTGAATATTGCCTCATTGATATCTAGATCCTACAATTTGTGCTTGTGAACTAAATTTTTGTAGTTTCTTTATTTTTTTAAATACATTCTCATTGAATTTCAACTCGTTTTAATCTGAGTTAAAAGATCCATAACATTGTCTTTGGCCCATAGAATTAATAAGTACTACGTACAACTGGAATGCTAACTGCGATCTTTTTGACATCTCAAAATGAACCTTAATGATATGTGAATAAAGTGTTTTTTAAATAACCATTATCTACATAGAGAAATGAGCTCAAGTGAGACATCTTTTTTCTTGGTGTGTCTCTGTCGCACAATTGCCATGTGAAATATTGTTGATATAAAGGTGGTAAATTCGTGAAAACTGTTTACACAGAACAAAACGTTTTCTATATGAATATTATATTTGGCTTGTTTATAAGTTTACTAATAATATAAATAATATAATAGCTTTTAGGTCCAGATAAAACAAAGTTTTTATATTTCACGACATTTCAATATTGTAGGCATGTTTTATTACCTTTACGTTATGCAACACTATACTCCATTCATTATGCATTAGACAGAAGTGAAGTAAGGTTCTTTTTATGGTATACTTTGTGACAAAACATCAATAATCATGTTACTTTTAAGACTGACGGCTAATTTGCTACATATCCACTTAAATATCAGCTGCTATACTTAACTGTTGTCATTTAAGCTATCTATTAAACAAATTTATGAGTATATGACTAACTTAAATGATTTAACAACTATTACAATAAAAAGTGTTCATCGTAAAGAACCTAAAGAAGCAGGGTTGGATAGTTTCGGCATTCTAATTTTAATTCTCATGTCACTATAACTCTACCAAATTTAAAACGTTGCCTAACCCCTTCAAACGTTTCGCTAGTACAGCGTTTTGATTTTGTCACACTATTATTTATTCCTAATTGTTATAATCGTAATCTGGGATTGTCATCCATTGTGAATGCTACTGCCTTTCTTGTTGTTTTGCCGTTTTCCGTGATGTTATTGTTTTATTTTTGTTGTTAAGTTTTGGTAAATATGGACGACGCTCTAAGCCCCCATACCTACCCTCAAACTTTAACATTTCGGGTAGTTTTTCTAATGTCTTCATCAAAAGTCTAACTTATTACACTTACAATTAGAATTTATCAAAACACACAGATAGTTTCAGTTTACGTTCCATGTTGGCTTGGGACTAAAAGATGAATTTATAAAATGCTGGCCTCATCTCAACCCCGAGGTATCATAAAAAATGGAAAATTGCCCAGCTCTCTCAGATTACCTAACGTTCAAAGTTTCAACAAAACTAATAAAGATTTTTTAAATTTATCTTGAAAATAAAATGTTCTGCACTGCTGTTTCTATGACCCTCTTTTTTTCTAATGTTATAGTAAATGGAGTATAGGTAAATTGAAGTATTCACGTGGCACCACAAAAGCAACATGGCGTTTTCTTTTTTGTCATATGGACTTGTTTTTAATGCTCTCTGAATTAAAAAAGTGCTTTAAATAGTATATTGGATTGAAAAATGGTAAACAATATATGTGCTGTGAGTGGGTATGGGAAAGAATCGTACCTGGCTGTGGATTATCTTTTCACAGGTAAGTATGTCATC